TCCCCTACCACCTCCCTCCTCCTTCCCTCCCACCACCTCCTCCTCCCCTCCCCCCCCTCCGCCCCCTCCCCCTCCCCCTCCCCCTCCCCTCCCCTCCCCCCCCCCCCCCCCCCCTCCCCGCCACCAACCGAGTCTGGCTCTCTTCGCCTCTCACTCACCCGCGCCTCCCCCCTCGTTCCCCACGCGCAGCGCATGAGCCTGGAGCAAGACTTCGGAGTGACGTTCGACCCGTTCCAGGAGGCCCAAAACGAGCTCGTCGGTGGTGACGTCGGTTCGTATGTCCACATCCGCATCCAGCAGCGCAACGGCCGCAAGTCGCTGACCACTGTCCAGGGGCTCACCCCCAAGCTCAACTTTAAGCGCGTGCTTAAGGCGCTCAAGAAGTCGCTGGCCTGCAACGGCAACATCGTCGAGGACGAGGAGAACGGTACCGTCATCCAGCTGCAGGGCGACCAGCGTGCTCACGTCCAGGAGTTCCTTGTCAACGAGCAGATCGTCGACGCCCAGAACATCAAGGTGCACGGTTTCTAAGCTGGAGATCCTGACGCTCCCGTGCTCCCTCACGCGTGCGCTCTCCGTCTCCCTCTCTCTCTCTCTCTTTCTTGATCCTCTCTGACCAACATCTCGTCGACCCGTGCTCGCCAGCCCCTGCGCCCCGAGCACTCTGCCGCCGACTCGTGGCTGTTGTGTGCGCACTGCAGCGTACCCATCTACCCGCTAGCTACTCTATACCCTGCCGCACATGAAGCCCAGAGAAAACACACCATCATCTTCCGTCTCCTCCTCCCAACCCCGTGACGCCGAAACCCGGCGCCCGAGTCGCGACTGCCCAGCACATGACGCGGCACCGACGTCACCTGCTGCCACTTTGCCAACGCCTCCACCACTTCTCTCCGCACGCCACCCCCCTACGCTTACCATGTTCCGCCTCACCTCATTCACACTCCCGCACACCGTCCGCGGAGCAGCAGCAGCACTCGCTGCGCGGGCGGCATCGACGCAGACGGCCTCCGCGGCAGGCAGCAGCAAGGCCAAGCCGCAGGTGGCAACGGCTGAGCCCGTGACGGACCTGTCATCTGAGGAGGCCATTGCGCTGGACAACGAGTACGGAGCGCACAACTACTCGCCGCTGGACGTAGTCTTCTCCCGGGCCAAGGGCCTCAACGTGTGGGATCCCGAGGGCAACCACTACTACGACTTTCTCTCGGCTTACTCGGCCCTCAACCAGGGCCATCTCCATCCCAAGCTCGTCGCCGCCGCCATCAACCAAACCCAAACGCTCTCGCTCTCTTCTCGTGCCTTCTACAACGACATCTTCCCGGCCTTTGCCGAGAAAATCTGTCAGACCTTTGACTACGAGGCCGTCCTGCCCATGAACACCGGCGCAGAGGCCGTCGAGTCGGCCCTCAAGATCGCCCGCAAGTGGGCCACCGACGTCAAGGGTGTGCCGAGCGGGAGCGTGCAAATCATCTCGGCCTGCGGCTGCTTCCACGGCCGCACGCTCGGCGCCATCTCCATGTCATGCGACCCGGACGCTACCGAGGGCTTCCACCCGCTTGTCCCGGGCCAGCTCAAGGTCGACTTTGGCGATCTCGCCGGGCTCGAGGCCACCCTCGCCGAGCACGGCGAGTCTGTCGGCGCCCTGCTGCTCGAGCCCATTCAGGGCGAGGCCGGCGTTGTCGTCCCGCCCGACGGCTACCTCGCTGCCGCCCGCGCCCTCTGCGACAAGCACAACGTACTCTTTATCGCCGATGAGATCCAGACCGGCATCGCCCGCACCGGCCGCATGCTGGCTGTCGACCACGACAACGTCCGCCCGGACATTGTGCTGCTCGGCAAGGCCCTCGGCGGCGGTATCTATCCCATCTCGGCCGTCCTCGCCGACCGCGACGTCATGGACGTCATCACACCGGGAACCCACGGCTCGACCTTTGGCGGCAACCCGCTCGGCGCCGCCGTCGCCATTGCCGCCCTCGACGTCGTCGCAGAGGAGAACCTCGCCGCCACTGCCCAGGCCAAGGGCGAGGCCTTCCGCGCCCGCTTTGCCGCCCTCCGCTCGCCGCTCATCAAGACTGTCCGCGGCAAGGGCCTCCTCAATGCTTTTGTCATGGACACCGAGGCTCTGCAGGGTGCGTCGGCCACAGACCTCTGCCACATGCTCAAGGACGAGGGCGTGCTGTGCAAGCCAACCCATGGCCACATCATCCGCCTTGCCCCGCCGCTCACCATCACCGACGAAGAGATGGACGACGTGTGCGAGCGCGTCGAGACCACCCTCGCTCGCCTCGAGGCCGAGATCGCCGCCGGCAAGCATCCAGTGCCACAGGCCGACCCCGATGCCCCTCCTCCGCGCGCCTGCGAGCGCTGCGGTCGTGCCGACGGCTGGTGATGGCGGGTCCTCCTCTCTGCTAGCCTTTAGCCTCTGACCGCAAAGTGAACAAATCTACGCGAGTGAGCAACGCCACGCCTCTTTACACGCGGTGGTTAATCGCCGAGCACGGCCGCCCCACACCCGACGACGACGGGCAGCACGCCGAGCACCGCCCGTAGTCGCAGTACTTGGCCGCAGGATTACGGGTGCACTTGCCGCAGCGGATGAGCGGCGCAAAGCACCGGAGGCACGACGACGCCGACGCAGGGTTGGCGTTGCGGCACGAGTCGCAGATCCAGTCGAGGACCGAGTCCTTGCCCGCGGTGCACATGACGCACTTGCCTGCGCTCGAAACGTTGATGGTCCCGCACCGGCACTTCCACGAGTCGGCGCCGAGCATGCCCAGGACCGAGCCGGTCGCACGGGTGCTCACCACCGAATACGACTTGAGGCCTGAGCACGAGACGCACCGGGTCGCCCGCTCCGGGTTCACCGCCGAGCAATTGCAGACCCACGCCGCGCTGTCGTCATCGTCGCCGTCGGAGCCATCCAGCTCGCCGTCTTCGCCGACCGAGGGATAGACCGACCGCACGTTGTACGTTGCCGCCGCACCCGGGTGCGCGGCGTAGAACTCGTCCTCGTGATCAGGCGGCGGCGGCGGGAGCCTGTTTTCGGCCGCCACCCGTGCCGCCACTGCCGCAGACACACGGTCCGCCTCGATCGCTGCCAGCGCCTTCTCCTGCTCGACTTCCAGGTCGTAGTCGAGGACCGCGTCACGGGCGACACGCTCGGGCGCCAGTAGCTCGCGCCGCAGCTCCAAGTTCGCCGCTGACGGCCGCCGCGCCATGCATTCGAGGCACCGCGAGGCGAGGCCCGGGTTGGTGAACGAGCACTCGCAGACCCAGAGCGTGTCGCGGGCGCCGGGCGCGCTAACGCTGCTCACAAAGGTCTCAGCGGGAAGCTCGATCCGCCGCTTGAGCGCCGGCGACGCAAAGGCGGCAGCCTCACGCGCGTCCTGGGCCTCGGCCTCGGCCTCCAGCCGCGCCACCCGCAGCGCCTCGTAGGCCTCGGCGGCACTCCGCGATCCGCGGTCGGCCTCGCCCGCCGCCGACGGCGTCGGCAGCACCCGCAGCGCCTGCTGCCAGTCGAGGATCTCCTTGCCAAGCGCGTTGATGACCGCAGTCAGCGCGGCAATCTCCGACTGCAGCACCGTTGCTGACAGCATCGCGGTCGCCTTGTCCTCGGCGCGCTTGGCGTCGGCCTCGTTGGCTGCCCGCGCCGCCGCCGCCGCCGCCTCGGCACGCCCGCGCAGACCGGGCAGAGCCGTGTCTGCCACCAACCGGTTCGTCGTCGTCAGCATTGTCTGCGCGTAGTACGGCAGCACAGTCTCGACCGAGAGCACAGGCTTCTCGTACTCTTCCAGAGCCAGCTCGTCCCGAGCCGCCGGCGCACGGCCCTCGACCCGTGCCAGCTTGGCCTCGGCCTCCTCGCGGAGCCAGTGTTTGGTCTTCCACTGCGACTCGAGGTCGCGGAGCTTGGCAATGATGACCGGCCGCGAGAGCTGCGCCACCGGCCGGCACGCACCACCGCAGTGTTGGCAGTACTTGATGCCCATCGGGAGCTCGCGGGTGCAGCTCGCGCACTCAAACTTCGGCTGCGACGCCTCGACCACTCCTGACCCACATTCGGTGCAGAACCGCGCGTCCTTGTTTGCCACTCGCCCACACGCCGAGCACACCGTCAGCGGTGCAATGAGCACCCCGCATTCGCCGCCGCAGCCAGAACAGAACTTGATGCTTAAGTCGTCGTACGTCGTCCGGCAGCTGTAGCATCCGTACTCGCGGATCGACGACCCAAACGCTGCAGGCTCAACCTTGCCCACAAGCTCTGTCGACGCCGTCGCCGACATTTCGTTGGGTCGCACTGCCGCGAGCTCGGCCTCCAGCGCCGCAATCCGCTCGGCGTCGGTCATGCCACGGACCGGCTCTGCCTGCGGCTCTGCCTCGGACGTGGCGAGAGCCTCAGCAGCGAGTGCTGGACTCACTGTCGACGTTGACGGGCTACTGCGGCCGGCTCTGGATCCCTCTGGTGCCTTCACGGCCGCCACAACCGGATCTTCATCCGAGTAGTACTCGTACTCGGGTTCGGCCGTCACAGCGCTCTTCTTGGCCGCCTGGACCGCTTGAGCCTGGACCGCCAGAGTCTTAGCGGTCGCCTTGGCGCCGCCGTCATCGTCCGAGTAGTACTCGTCCGACGGAGCACTGCCATCGCCGTCGTCGACAAGTCCAAGCGCCGCCAGCGACTCTTCGGCTTCGGTCTTGACCTTGCCCGGTGTCTTGGTCGACTTGCTGCCCTTCTTCTTGCTCTTCTTCTTGGACGCATTGCCTTTCTTGGAAGCCACGCCCTTTTTCTTCGACACGGCGCCCTTTTTCTTGGACGCCTTGGTCTTCTTCTTCTTGGCCTTGGGCTTGGTAGGCGCAAACAGACCGTCGTCAAACAGGCCGCCGCCACCGCCACCGCCGCCACCGCCACCAAACAGGCCGCCGCCGCCGGAAAACAGCTCGTCCTTGGAGATCGGGCCCCTGGCCCCGGCATCGTCGTCGTCTTCTTCGGCCACTCTGCTGGGCTTGGACTCTTTGCCGCCCTTCTTCTTCTTACCTCTGTCAGTAGCTGTCTTCTTGGACCTCGTCTTGGACTTCTTGCCCTTGCCGGCACCCTTCTTCTTCTTCTTCTTCGGCTTCACCGGCTCGGACTCGGGCTCGGGCTCGGACTCGGCTTCGGCTTCGGACTCGGGCTCGGGTTCGGACTCGGGCTCCGGCTCTGGCTCTGGTTCCGACTCGTCGGCGTCCGACTCGAACGTGACGACCTTGGCCTGGGGCTTGGACCTGGACTTGGCCCCAGCCTTGGAAGTCTTGGACTTGATCTTGCGCGCAGCTTTGCTGCGCGACTTTGATCTGCCGTTGGCCGAGGTCTTCTTGGGCAGTTCCTCTGGCTGTGCCTTTGCCTTTGCCTGTGCCTTTGTCTTTGCCTTTGTCTTTGTGCCAAAGTCGAGGATGTCGGGCTCGTCATCGTCAAACATGTTGTCGAGATCGTCAAAGAGGCCGCCGCCCTGCGACGACTTTTTAGCCTTGGCACCGCCACCGGCCTTGCTGCCTCGGGCCTTGTCGCCTCCTGCCTTGGTCTTGCCCTTCTTCCCAGCGCCTGCCTTGCCCTTCTTTCCTGCGCCTGCGTTGCCCTTCTTCCCACCCGCCGACTTCTTTCCGCGCTTCTTGGGCGCCTTTGTCAGAAAGGCCATGTCGTCGTCCGACTCGCCTGACCCAGCTGCGCCAAACATGGTGAACGGGAAGCGAGGGGAAGGGGGAGGGGAGGAGAGATAGAGAGAGAGATAGAGAGAGAGTGTGTGTGGATGCCCTACGCCCAGGCCAGCGGTGCAGTGGTCTGCAGCTGCACAGGCAAGTGTCCGTCCCCTTGCACCGTCTTTAACTCTCCGTCTCGGTCCGTGTTTGTGCCTCGAGGTGGAGGAGGTGGAGGAGGAGGTGGTGGTGGCCGCAGCGCGTGACCGTTCGTAAACCACGACCTTTCTTGGCAGCAGCTCCAGCACCTGCCAACGGCCGCCACACACGAGTTTGCTCACCTGACTCCCCCCCCCCCCCCCCCCTCCCCCAATTCCACACACCACGGTATGGCTTTGGCTGGCGTGACTGTGTGCGTGGCGTCGGCCAAGTACGCCGGCCTTGGTCCGCGCCAGGACGCTGCGGCAGCGGTCGAGGCTGCAGGCGGGACAGCGACCTTTGTCTGCACGGCAGACGTCGACTACGTCATGGCTGTGCCCGACGATGTGGCCAAGGACTCGAAGAAGATCCGCAAGGCCACGGCGCTCTCGGTCCCGGTTGTGTCTGAGGACTGGCTTGCTGCGGCTGTTGCTGCCGGCGCGCTCGTCGACTGGTCCCCGCACTCGCTGAAGGAGACCGGCGCAACCGCCAGCGGACCTGCTGCAGCGACCCTTGCGACAGCGGGGCCAGGCCGTTTGGCGGCAGCAGCATCGGCCACAGCGTCTACGGTGCTCGAGGACTGCTGCTTGTTCCTGCATGCGCCGCGTGGTGAGTCGTTTGCCGACGACAAGGCAGCGCTCTCGGCGGCGGCCGAGGCGCTCGGCGCCGAGGTGGTGAAGCGGTTCTCGGCGGCGCGTGTCTCACACGTCGTCCTGCCGGACGGTGTCGAGCCGCCGCCCAAGTTCCAGTCGGTAACGTCGGCGTTTGTGGTGACCGAGGCCTGGCTGGCGGCGGCGGTGACCGGCGGAAAGCGTGCCGACGAGGCCGACTTTGAGGCAACGGGCGTGGCCGCTCAATCACGAGGAGCACGCCAGAAGCGCAAGCGGCAGCCGTCGCCGCCGGCAGCTCCAGCCAGTGCGGCACTCCCGACTTCGATCGCCGGCCTCTGTCTCTGCCTCACTGGTCGGTTTAGCACTGTCCGCAACAAGCTTGAGAAGCAGATTGCGGCGACTGGGGCTTCGGTTGTCACGTCGGTCTCGTCCAGCGTTGACTACCTGGTTACTGCCAACCCCGGCTCGAATACGGTCAAGGAACAGACGGCGCTCAGCCTTGGCGTGCCGGTTGTGCCGGCGTCATGGCTGGAAGGCTTGCTGGCGGGCAAGCCTGTGGCGGCAGCGGCAGCGACAGCGATGGTACCGGTGCCGCCACCGAAGCGAGCCAAGCCGCTGACGGCCGCCGCGACAGCAGGTGGAAGCGGCGATGACGATCAGGACGACGGGCCGTCGTGCGGCCTTCCGCTGAGTGTACAGGCAGTGGTGGAGATGATCTGCGACCTCAACTCGACGACGTCGCGGGTGATGAGCATGGATTATGACGCCAACAAGCTTCCGCTGGGCAAGCTCAAAAAATCGCACGTCCGCAAGGGACGAGCCAAGCTCAAGGAGATCGAGGACGAGCTCAACGGGCCGGGCCGGCGTCACGTGCTCACCGACCTTTCGTCCAACTTTTACACGCTCGTGCCGCACGTGTTCGGCATGCGGCGACCGCCGGTCATCGACTCGATCGACATGCTCAAAACCAAGATCCAGCTCATGGACGCGCTGTCGGACATCCAGGCCACGACCAAGAGCCTCAAGTCTGTGGCGACCTCATCGGGCCTCCATCCGATCACCGCGCGGTACAACATGCTACAGACAACCATGGCGCCGGTGGCGCCGGGCTCGGACGTCGACACCATGATTCGGATGTATGCCAAGAACACACACGCCCCGACCCACAAGCGGTACTCGCTCGAGGTGCTCGACATCCTCGAGGTCGAGCGTGCCGGTGCATCTGCCCGCTACGCGCCCCACGGCGCGCTTGCCAACCGCACCCTCCTCTGGCACGGGACGCGGATGTCCAACATGGTCGGCATCCTCCGGCAAGGTCTCCGCATCGCGCCGCCGAAGCGCCTGTCACCGGCTACATGTTTGGCAAGGGCATCTACGGCACCGACATGGTGTCCAAGGCTGCGCAGTACTGCTGGGCGACCAAGACCGCCGACGTAGGCCTCCTTGTCCTCGCCGAGTTTGCGCTCGGAACGAGCTACAAGGCACGCGCTGCCGAGCCACTCGACGGCCCACCACCGGGCACGCACTCGACCCACGGCGAGGGCAAGACGCGGACTAATCCCAAGCACGTCTTTAAGATGAGCAACGGTGTCCGAGTCCCGCTCGGCAAGCCAGTGCCGGCCAGGCTCGACACAGACTCGTCGCTCCTCTACGACGAGTTTGTTGTCTACGACGAGTCGCAAGTCATCATCCGCTACCTGGTCAAGGTGAGGTTCTCGTTCAAGTAAGGCCAAGTAGCGCATGGGCAAGACAGAGTAAAGCGAGCTAACTGAGACAGAGGCTAGGCTGTGCAGCTCGCCGGGCTTGCGCGGCTAGGCGCGACCCTGCTTCTGGCGCTTCTGGCGGCGCTCGGCAAAGGCCTTGGTCCGGTTCTTGCGCTTGCGGCGTTTGCCCTCGTAGCGGCCGACCATGCCTGCAGCCGACTTGTCACGGACAATACGGGCGGTGTAGGCGGCAACCTTCTCGTCTTTGAGCAGCTCGTCGACAAGGTCCTTGCCACGATCCTTCTTGGCGATGCGGGCCGAGTAAAAGTCCTTCTTAGACTCGATGACGGTGCCAAACTGAAAGTGCTTGGGGTACTTGTGGTTCTTGCGATTGATCGAGTCGCCATGGATGTTGCGGTAGAATCGCTTGGGGTCGGTGTACGCCCGCAGCCGGACCACGTCGAGCTGGCGCTTGACTTCGGCGGTGAGCTCGGGCGCCGGCATGTTGAACCAGTCCTTGGACGCGTACTTGGCCGAGTGCTCCTTGAACTTGCGGCGCTCCTCCTTGTGCGCCTTCGGATGCGGCGCCTTGCGCTCGGCCTCGAGCGTTGGGCCAACCACAATCGCCGCCTCAAGCTCCGCCATCCGGTGAGACTCGGCCGCCTGGCGGTGGCTGGCCCACCTGCGGGCGTTGCGCCACCGCGGGCCGCTCCGGAACGCCGAATCGAGCGCACACGCAAGCCGGATCGGCCGCCGCGCCTGGATCATCTCCGCCACCTTGCGCACTCGCGCCTCATCCTTGGTCTCCAGGCTCATCATCACCACCTCGCCGTCGTCATCCTCGTCGCTCACCGAGCCCTCGCCGCGCCGGCCATCCTCGCCACCGCTTGCCGCGAACCGCTTCAGCAGCGCAGCCTCGAACGCCGCCACTGCCGGCGACAGGTCCACCGGTCCCGCCTCGTCCTCGCTGCTCTTCTTCGAACCCTTGCGTCCGCGTCGCCGGGTTGCCACCATGACTGTCTCGAGTGCGGTGGTGGGTGTGGCGGCCACGAGGGGAGGGAGGGATGGGGGGGATGCCATCTTTGACTGTCGATTCGAACGCACCCATTGATTCACGAGCAAATGGCGGCCTCGATCGCCCGGAGCAAGGGACCTACCTCCCCATCCGATGGGATTTGATGGCCCAAGTCTTGGATAGCATGCGTGGGCCACATGGCTTCTAGTCGTGCGCAACATGGTCCGATCTGTATGCCTGGACCCGGGCGCGGCCCCGTGAGGCATCGATTGGGCAAGAGTTCGGTGAGCGTCACCGCTCGGCAGCAGCGGCACCACCGCCATCATTTGTTGGATTGTGGATGCGACAGTGAGGAGCAGCAGCCGATTAGTGTGCGAGCAGGCCAGGCCTTGGTGGCCGTGCTTCGAAAGTCACGCATTCGTCAGGTCACGCGCGTGCAGCGAGTGGTAATAGCATGGCACATATGCGAGGTCGGAAGAGAGTGGTGGCCGGTGCACCGCCCAGAGCATGCCTGGCACAAAGCGAGGCAGGGCACAAGACCAAGGCTGGGGTACCCACCCATGCCCCTCGCCCATCCTTCCCACTACGAACAATGTGCACATGGCGTGCCCGCAATGCAAGCACAGATCTCAGCTGTCATTCAGCCTTGTGCCGCATCACCCCCGACCTCCCCCCCCCCCCTCCCGCCCCCCACCCCTTGCCCCCGCCCCTTCCCCCAGCACGACAGCCGCACCACGTTCGCAATGGTCAATAGTGCCGCACCTTCCTGCCGCAAAGGTTTGTTCAACTTTGCAAAAATTCGTTGTTCTCGGAAGGCACATTGGCCACGTCAACGTGCGCCACCACCTCCACCACCTCCACCACCACCACCAGCATGCGCCCCCCCCCCCGCCTCGAGACCAATGCGCAGCCCATGCCCTACCTGGAGCAAAGGCCAATCCCCTCGGGGCCCCCTTCCCCCTCTGCTACCTGCTCAGTGCTGCCCAGTCACTGGCATGCGCCTTGGCTGGGCACTCTGCGGAACAAGGGTCGCACAAGTGACTGCCGGGTCCACGTTGCGTCGCGCCGTATGTGCGGGATGCCGATTTTTAAGGTGGTGGAGCACGACGGCCCGGGTGGGGGCATGCCCCGCCAAGCGGCTGCAGCACTCGTGAGCATAGCCACATAAAAACAAGGAACTTGCAATGGGGGGAATGCAGTGCTGTACAACCTATGCTACTCGCCGGTATTGTAGCTGCCTGGAACAGTCTGCACGGACCGGTCGCGTACCGCCGCCTGGCGAGTGGCCGAAGCGTCCGTTTTCGCTGTGCGCTAGCAACGTGAAACTGCTGCACGGAAGCGCCGGCCGGCAACGTCAGCACCCTCCTGCAGGGATGGGCATGTGGGGGGATACAGAGAGCCTCATGTGCAACCAAGGTCATCAAGCCCTTAGTGGCAGCAGTGGTATACGGCCCAGCTTGTCCCTTCAAGCGTAGGATTCTTGCTTCGTTCCGAATGGCCATACCCTCGTGGGCGGAGGAGGGGACTCGCCCAAGAAACTGTCCCAATTACACGCTGGCGTGGGTCACACCGCTCTCTACGCCACACCCGCAGAGCCCCCGTTCCTCCGCAAGGCACCGCCGCACCCCTTCGTCCCGCGCAAACAACTCTCCGCTCCGTATTCCAGAACCGAACCCCCCACAGGCCCAAATCCCTGTCCCTCGCCCCTCGCCTTCCCCTCTTAAGCGAGCTGCCCCCCCCCCCACACCCACACCCACGTGCTTGCTGTCCCTGCCTTCCTGCCGTCGCACCGCTGAAAATCTGCCGGCACTCTCCCGTTGCCCCAAAATATGATGTCAACTCGCCCGCACTCGTCCCCAGCCCACACCCACCCCTCAGGAAAGAGCCACTCGTCACCCCCGGCCCTCGCGCTCAACCCGCGTGCCTGCCGTCCTCAGATTCTTGCTGCTCCGGCCTCCTCCCGCTCGGTCTCGTCGTCGCGGTCGGCCACGCCGCCGTCGCCTGGCCCTGCCACCCGACCGGCCATGCCGGCGCCGTCACACATCCGGCGCAACCTCGCGGCTTCTTCGGCCCAGACTCCGTCGCCGCGCGACGACTTTGGCGACTCTGCTCACTCCTCCCGTCCGGGAACCGCTGGCGCTCTCTCGCTTCTCACCAACGCCGCCGCCGCCTCCTCGGTCACCGCGCCCGAGCCGATGCAGGTCACCAAGCCGACTGCCGTCAAGGCCGAGTCCGTGGCCCCGCCGGTCCAGGCGCCGGCGCCCACGCCTGCTCCCGCACCTGCGCACGCACCTGTGCGTGCGCCCGCACCTACGCACGCACCTACGCACGCGCCGGCGCATCCACCTGCGCACCCTCCTCCCGCGGTGCACCCTGGCCATGATGCACACGCCCAGGTGCAGGCCCGCGTCCGCGCACAGGCTGCCGCTGCTGCGCAGGCCCAGGCTATGTTCTACATGCAAATGATGCAGGGCATGCAGGGTATGCAGGGTATGCAGGGTATGCAGGGCGGCCAGGTCCCGCCGCAGGCTCTCATGTCGATGGGCATGTCGCTCGCTATGGCCGCCATGGGCGTCCCGCCGGCGCACATGATGAACGCCGCCGCCGCAGCAGCAGCCGCGCAGGCACATGGCCACCACGCCGGTTTCCCGCCCAACACCCGTCCGCCGATGCCGCCGATGGCTCAAGCGCCGGCCCGCCCCGCCCACACCAACCCGTCGTCGCCGTCGGGCGCCGTCAACCCGGGCCTCCACCAGCTCGCCTCGATGGCCCTGCTCAGCGGGCCCAAGGACGCTGCTGACCACCTCTCGTACAAGCGTAAGATGGATTCGTCCATGGCCACCATGGGCGTCCCGCCGTCCAAGCGCATGCGCCCGCTCGGCTCGTTCACCTCGGCCGTCTCGTCGTCGACCCCTGCTCCGCCGCGCTTTACCCTCCTCCTGCGCCAGCTCAAGTCGACCATGCCCGAGCTCACCGACCTGCCGCTCTCGCAGCTCGCCATCCTCAACCACGCCATCGACGCCATCGTCGCCCTCCAGGACCACCACGCCGCGCTCACTAACAAGGTCGCGGCCGCTGGCGGTGCCACTCTTACGGCTTCCTCTGTCGCCTCGGACAAGATCGCCCGCCTGGAGAAGCTCCGCGCTCAGCGCATCGCCATGCAGGCCGAGCTTGCCGCCCTCGAGGCCTAACACGCCCGATATCTCTTGCTTTATTGCATCCCCCGTGCCCACTGCCGTTCGAACGCGCGACGGCGCGCCCCACAGTGAACGAAACAATGGACCGCAGCCTACTTTTCTACACCCTTCCCGCGAGCGTCTGCAACAGCTGCTGCTGCTGCCGAAGGTATGCGAGGTGGAGCGCGTTGCGCGCCGCCGCATCGCGCGGGATTCCGCGCGCGTTCACAGCTGCCGCGCCGGTCGCCGCG